TTTTATATTTTTTCCATAATTTTATTGAGAAATAAATAGCAATGAGATGGTTGCAAATCAAATTGGTAGGACAGTTCCAATAATCAATCTCAGTTTTAAAACAAAATGTAACTCTCCCTGAGATAATATCATGTCGAGAAATCAGGAAAACCTACCAAGGTGTACTGACCAGCACATACTATTCACAACGCACCCAAATTATTAAGAGCCCTCCTACAGTAAGAACCACACCAGACGCCCTAATGTTTCTAAGTGGCCCTTGCAGGCACCACAGGATCCTCCTCCTCTCCTCCTCCTCTCCTCCTCCTCTTCTTCCTTTTTCATATAATCTTTCCCCTTAGACCTGACTCTGTATTTTCTACCATATGGTCTAAAACATTTAGGAAAACCTCATATAAAAATCACAAAAAGGAAGTATTTACCTGATCAAGGGACACCTGGAGCTTGTTGGATTCCTTAAGGGAGTCTTGAATAAGCGCACTGCTTGCTTTAGTCTGATTCAGGGATTCAATCAATTCCTTATTCTCCAAAATATTGCCCTGAGACGTGGCAAGGGCCTGGAACAAAGATTGACGAGCAACAGAACTGCTGATGAGCATGTTAAAACAGCAACTAGAGGAAGTCTATTCCAACGGCCATTCTTCAGATGACGTTTATGGAAACTTATGCTATTTTAGAAAACTTCCAACATTTTTTGCCTTCTCATATCAAATGATATATCAAATGAAATAATATATAGCAAAGAGAATGTTAGTTACAATTGTTTGTCTTAAATATAAATGGCTAAGATCTTATATTCAAATTGTTACCTAGTTGTTTTGGTTTAAATTTTGTTTTAGGATATTAGTATGCTTTGGAAAAAAATATTATGAAAGTACTATGAATTTTTCAAAAACAGTGTTATTTATATTATTTTGTATTTATTAAAGAAAACTAATATAAAAATATACTGCATCAATTTTACCTCTAAAAGAGATTCCTCTAGCTTGGCTAGTTGTATTTTTTTATCTTCTTCCTGTTGTAATAGTTTTGTTTTCTGTTCCTCTAAATCAGGTTTCTCATGCTGAATGGTTAAAGCCAAAAGCTTAAAAAAAACAAAGTAAGGTAATTCTATCACTAAGGTTCAAAATAAAACATTCATTAGAACAGATCTTACGTTTGAGCAAATACTACAAGTCTTATAACACTGTTACCTCAATTAATATTTCCTAATTAGACATGACACAGCTTCACAATTATATCTCATAAAAATAAATAAACTGAATGGTCTAACTCACCAATCAAATGTTTTATAGAAAAGCTGTAAGATTATATCATTTATATACCAATATGTGATATTTAATCTCAGTTAAATTTTTAAACTACAGAACTAATATATCTATTAATAAGTATTTACATTCAAAGTACAAAGACATATTACTTAAAAATATGTTAGCAAGGCCCGGCCAAACAGCTCAGCAGATTAAAGCGCCTGCAAGCAGGTGCAGGGGCCGGGCTTCAATCTGCCGGGCCGACCCCGCCCCTGGGACACACTGATACAGTGATCAAGACTGGGTGTGGTCAGTAATCCCAGCTCTTGGGAGGCTCTCTCAGATCACTACGAGTCTGATCTAGTAGTGAGACCCTAAACACTCTGTAGACTCTTCCCTAAAATACAAAAAAAAAAAAAAAGTCATCAAAACTAAAATGAGGTTTCACTTCAACTAGAATGGTTACAATTCAAAAGACAATAAGAATGGACAAAGATGGAGAAAAAGTGAAACACTTCTACACTGGCAGAGGGAGAGCAAAACAAAAGGGCTCTTTGCAAAGCTTGTCTCTCAAATTGTTGAGCACACAGTTACCACGGGAAAGGGGAAGGTGGTGCACAGCTGCAACTCCAGCACTCAGGAGGCTGAGCCAGGAGAACAGGCACACATCTGGGGCCAGTCGGCCACCGAGGAAATTCCAGACTGGCCTGAACTACAGAGCAAGACCCTGCCTCAACAAACAAACAAATCTGCTAAACTGTCAAAAATGCTCAAACTGTTAACTTTGAAAATCAAAATAGAAGATGACACTAGTATAAAATATATAATTCCAAATCTTCCGTATTGCTTTTCCTTAAAATAAGACCCACATAGCTCCTTTCCGAAGTCATTGGAGAGCTATTAGAAGTCATTTTGCTAATTTCTGAATGACTGTTACACTGTTTTATTTACAAAAACCATCATCAAGTCAATTAAAAGATACTGTTTATAAAAATGTGCTCGGTGAGTCCTAGCCCTGTGGTGTACTAAGAAAACATTAGTTTGAAGGAATAATTTCTCAAATTACAATAAAATAAAAATTGCAGCAAACATAATGTCATCAAAAAATATCTATTGTTAGATTGGCTAAAAAAAGTGATACTGAAATAAAAGTCAACTGACATCTTTTAAGAAGGAAAAAACAAGCAGATGTATATGTAAAAGTCTGGACATGAAAAAAATCATTTTGAAATTCATGCAACCATATTACACAACAATGAGCTCTATGTAGATGCACAGATTGCAGTGATTAAAAAAACAAAAAAACTGCCAGGAATCAAAAACCTTCAACTATCTAAATAAGTCAATCAACTCTAACTTCTACAAACTTCTTTTCCAAATTAAAAAATAAAGCAGCACCTCTTGGTCTTTATGAACAATCTCTTGATTCTAGCAGAGTTGACAGACATAACACTAAAAGTTATAGTTGTATTAGAAGAAGCAACAATTTGATGCTGGCACCCAATATCCATATTTAAACCAACGATATGTATCTGTATATACAAAATAGGATAGACATACAGCTTACTCTTAATTCAATGAGAAGAAAGATTTGTACTAATAGTGCTTGGACAGGATATCATGTCTGCATCTTCTACTATGAATAACTACTACAAAGACAACAACATGCAATGTATTTATTATCGTAACTGTCCTACTAACCCGTTTTGAAACTGTCTCATTATTTCTCAATATAATTAATAAAAAAAATTGAAAAATAAAATAAAATAAACCAATGATAAAATAAGCCTAAACTGTTTATTCACAAGTACATTCTCAAACTCCCAAACTCAAGTAGCCATCAACTTAACAAACTATCTTTCTATTCAAAATGTCTAACAGGTACACAAAACTAAAATATATATGTATAAAAAATATATATATATGTATATATCACACACACACACATATATATATATTAAATAAACTATGACTTTCTTTATATACCTGGCCCCGTAATCCGCTTCTTGTTGTAGTAAAATTAACCTCAGTAACAATGGAAGCTGCGTCTGGTGGAATAAATGGATTTGGGTTTCTTGTTGATAAGAAAAGGCGGAATTCTTCATTGTAGTCAATAATTTTGTCACCTATTTGTACCACATAACGTGGCCCTATTTGAAAAGGAAAACACACAATTAGCCTGTATCTTTTTAATTTTGCTACATAATATTCAACAATATAAGCTTCAATTACTTCTAATTGAATAGGCTTGCTAAGATGGTCCAAAACACAGCAAAAGTTACCTTACCAGAGATAGTGTTAGGCAGAATGCTCTTATAAATCAGCACTTATATAAGCAAGAATAAATAATATTCATTAATAGACCCAGGGATATTGAAGCATTATGGCAATGTCTAATTATATTCAGAATAGCTTTAATATCAGCTGTATTTTATAAACTACATGTTTTTAAAATACTTGACTAAAAATGATAATAGAAATTCCCAATTATATGCTATTCTCTAAGTTTCTATTTCTTAATCCTAGTTAAAAAGTACTTAAGATATAATACTTGAAGACATGGCAAAAATCTAACTGTAAAGAAACCCCATTATCAACAAAATGAAAGGTACCCTATAGACAGAAAAAAAAATTGTGAGCTGTTTATCAGATACAGTTAGTCTGCAAAATTTTTTTTTTTTTTTTTGGTGGAACCGGGGATTGAACTCAGGTCCTTGAGCTTGCCAGGGGAAGCACTTATTCCACTGAGCCATCTTCCCGGCCCCAATCTGCAAAATTTATGAAAAATTCCTAACAACTCAATAGCACCAAAACAGCATGTTTTTAAAAAATGAGAAAAGGATATTAACAGACATTGCTCCAAAGAAGATATTTTAAAAAATCATAATATTCTGAATGATTTTTACTGACAAAAACCACTTTCATTATATTATATATCATTTAGGTATAGTTAATTATTGATACACTGTATTTAATGAAGTTAAATAAACTGTATCTAAATCCTGCCACACAAATGACCAAATAAATGCACACTGCCCAAGGAGCTACCCAACAGCTCATTAAGGATGAATGTCTGTCTTCACAGCCACTAAATAAAAAAGAACCAACATACAAATATTCTCTTGGCCTAGCAGCAGCATCATATGGAAACCTGGAAATAGCTTCTTATCGTGTCCAAAAACAAGGATTTGAAGGGCAGCCCCTCCTAGAGGTAGCTCTGGAGGTGAGGTAAGCTAAGCACTTGCCACTCAGTCCTACATTTGGTTCCTACATCTTTCAGGCACCTCCAATTAAAGAGATCTATAAATAATTCCACAGACTGCCAAAGCCAATCCAAGGCTATAGCCATCTACTAAACACAAGTAAAATTTCCAACATCTATAGCACTGGGTAATTTGTGCAACTGGTACACTGCAAGGAGCATGCCTGGCTGCAAAGCAGGCCACTCTGTGACCGAATCAAACAACCGGTACAGGGCTTCACAGGTCGGAGCTACTCAGTTAGCTTAGGCTGTCTCACCTCAGAACTATGGACAATTTCTGTTGGAAAAATTATTTTCAGTCAGAAGACAGTACATCATTTTAAGATGTTCCCAGCATATACCCTCAGATCTCTCTAGACACTGCTAAATGTCCCCTGAGGGGAAAACGCTCCTGAGAGAGACGCACTGTCAACTGGTCTTCAGGCCACAAAGTCACACTCATACAGAGAACTACGTACTAAAAAGGGGTACAGCAACTGATCACAAGTATGACCTTGTCTTTTAACAACGTAAGCTTCACGTACACCAATTCCTCAAAATAAATGTAGTATTACGTGTTGCAACATATACAATAAAAAAGTAGAAAGATGCTGAGTAGAAAAGCTAAACCAAAAAGCTAGGCAGTCTGGCAACTGAGACACTTACCTTGAGCAACTAGATCTCTTCTCAGCAAGGGGTACAGTACAGGTTCTACACCATCCATCTCTTGTATAATAAGAGTCTTCCCAAAACGTACTGCCAACTCAAGAGCTGTCATAAAGTTGCTATCCTATGAGGATAGGAAAGATACATATTAACTCCTCTATTATCTTAGCATTTTCAAAGATCCTTAAAGATGATCAATGAAGGTTTTAATTGAATAGCCTATTTAAACACATAACATATATAGATAGATAGATATTATATAATTCAAATTACATTGATGATTTTCTCTAGCTGTACTTGATAAATTTTTTTTTAAAAATCTTTAAAATGTCAATGTAAATAGATGTATAAAAGAATTTTATAACTTTTCTAATGTGGTGAAAACAGAAATCCAAATAAGACCTATTCTCTAAACCAATTTTTAAGGGTAGATTACAGTATTATTATAGTGTGGACAGCATATCTCTAGAACTTTTTCACAATGTACACAGAGAACCTCTATACCATTGAATAGCAACTCTTGATTTCCCTCACCACTGAAAACCTTTAATCTTCCACTATAGTTGCAAACTATAATAGAACAGAGTATCAAATTCTACCTCCAATAAATACCCAAGTATTTATAAGATCTAATTTGCTTAAGTTCCAAGTCAAACACTGAATGCAGGGAAAAAGGCAAGATAACTTTTCTTGTTGTGACAGGCTAGGCAAAATTCTACGACCAGTGAAAAATGTTGGGCTTTCTGGCCAGTGAGAGAGCAGTTTTACATATTACTCCAGGCCTCCAACTAAGATACTTTTAAAATGAGATTCAAGTGCATTGATGTGCTACATAACATCTCAGTCAGCAATGGACCACATATACAATAGTGGCTCAACAGGACTAAAACAAAGCTAAGAAATTTCTCCAGATTACTGAAATTGTAGCTGTAATATGCCACAATGTATTATTCCCACATCTGTGGTAAGGCTGAAATAAACACAACAACTGAGCTTTTGTGATTTTCCAATCTAGGTTAATAACTCTTACTCCAATACCACCTTATATCATTATCAGAGCTGAGTTTAAATCATGCATTTGTCTCTTTAACTTATTAGTGTCATATTCTTAAGAGCAGAAGCTGTGATGAGTTCATGCATTATTAAATTCCTAGGGGTTATGTCAGCATCTAGCACCACGCAAATGTGCTCATCCTTCCTTCACCAGTTGGAAAACTGAATCTTGGAGTTACATTTCTTCCCCAAATCCCACACCAGTAAGCTATGGGACTCAGTGTGGAATATATGCCTTCTGATTACAGGGCTAGGCTTACTTCACTGTAAGTTTCTATTCTTAGCTGGAATCTAAGTTATAAGCACACATACTTGCTGGTTAATAACCTCCAAATGTGAGTCTTTCAAATGGGTCTTCAGCCATTCTGTAGCTTGGGAAGAAGGATCTATAAGAAATGGGCACACTCGACTCTAGTTTGAGAAAAAGAAAGATAAAGTTATCTAAAGGATTAAGTTTTCATTTAAATGTTAATAAATTTATAAAAACTATTTTTAAATTACTAAACGGAGTTTTCTCCATGGCTCTGGGCAACACAAATATACACCACAAGGAGGAAACAAAGGTAGAGTTCATGCGGGGGCCAGAAGCCACCTTCGCACAGACAACTGCCTCAGTCTTGTCTGCAGCCACAGCAGGCAACTCCTAGCAGGCCTCCCCCAGGGACCTCACTTCACGACCTTTACACAGCAGCGCCACTGTCCCACCAAAAAGATGCATGATGCCGACCACAACGGCGTGGCCCAGTGCACACCTGCTGAAGTGTCACCATGAGTTTTCAGTCTAATTGTATGCTAATCTTTAACAATATGTCAAAAATTTCACAATTCTGCTAGGTTTTGCCTGTCGGAGTAATTATTTTAAAATTACAAAGTTCTTACCCATGATTTCAAGCCAATGATCTGATGCAGTTAAAAAAAAAAAAGATTGTAATGTTTCAAAAACCTGTTTTTAGCAAAGAAAATAAGCTTAACAAATTCAAAGAGTATTTACAAGTTTACGTTCACCTCATTTATACATTTCCAGAGAGATTTAGACAAAACTTCTATGGTACAATTTTATCAACATGATCTATGATTAAATGTACATTTAACAAATTATAACAGACTCAGAACTGTTTTCATTCATGCATTAACTGACTCTTTCATTCACACAGGCATTCACTCATTCATTCACCACATGGTAAGTAACTACAGACTGAATACTAGGGTTACAGAAATTAGTAAGATATGTTCCCTTACCCTCAGGGACTTCACATCCAATAAAGAAGCAAAAATGAAAATCCCATTAGCATGAAGCGCACAAAACACCACAGAAGGAGGACAGGGAGAATTAGGGTAGGCCACTAGACAATAATTCAAGTCATATTCAGCCAAAGAACAATAAAAGATTAGCTTGATAAGGAGGTGAAAGGGTATCTCAGGGAAGACCAAGATCCTGAAGGAGAGAAAAATAAAAGCCTGGAATATGTAGAGAACATCCAGAAGCTTGGCGCGCCTGCACAGAAACACATGGGGGCAAAAGCGACACGTCCAAAACAGCACAGTGATCTGAAATCTGACAGCGGGAAGTGTCCGCACTGTGTATGAGGATAATGAAACGTCAGTACTAAGAGGGTAATAAAATACATCAAGTGAGGTAAAATCATGATCAGATTATTTGGAAAGGTCATGCCAACAGAAAAGGAACGGATCCTGTGAGCAAGTATACTATATTTATCAAGTGATAAAATAATGAAGGCTGAAATGGAGCCACCAGCAGTAGATGTAGCTAAAGCAGAGACGTGTTTTGAGATACGTGAGAAATACATTTAATAAGTCTAGATGAATAATAATTAGCTAAGTAAAGAATTAGAAACAGTGAGATTGACTTAAAGATATGTAACTTGCACTCCTAAGCCAAGATTATGGTAGTAGCGCCAGTGGTCAGGAATGAAAGAGAAACAGCAGCAGGAGCAGGTTAGGAGGCAGGGAAGAGCTTCGCAGCAGAGAGCTTCCCTGCCTGTCTCGTAGATCCCGCTCAAGGCACTTTTTTCTTTTTTTTCTGGAGGCAAGGTCTTGCTGTGTAGGGTAGACTGGCCCTGCACTCACTTATGTGGTCCAGGCTGGCCCTGAATGCATGGCGATCCTCCTGCCTCAGCCTCTTGAGTGCCAGGATTACAGGTGTGTGACATCACACCCAGCTTGCAATGTACTTTGGATGGGGTTATTAATCACTGCCTCTGTACCCAAAAGCTAAGCAGATGATACATGCCAACTAAACAGAAGCCTTTTGGAGATTGACATATACGCGAGGAATAGTGGGATGACACGTCTCTTTCTTCTCATGTCTGGGTCTTTTCATCCCTTCCTCCCAGTTCCTACAAGCTTTCTACTCTCCACTATCCACAGAGTTGCCCAATTAAAAAATCATATAATTTATCACCCAGAAAGAACACTTCAGAAAGTAAAGGAAGCTATCAATTACATCAGGCAAAGTGTGAAGAAACCATAGCCCAAGGGAGGCAAGCACAGGATATCTACGGTCAAATTTTCCTGCTCCTCAGAGCCACAGGCCACACAAGCTTCTGCTAACATAAAAGTAACTTTCCTCAGAAGGCAAACTTCAGGTGAGGGTGTGGTTGGCTCCTCACCCAGGCAACGCATGAACTTGGTTAGCTCAACCTAATCATAAAAAACTTCAAGTGTCTTTGGAGGAAGAGTACAAAGATACAGAAATACTTTCGAACACAAAGGGCTTTTTCTTGGTATCAGTTTCATTAAATAATTCCAGACCTTGGCTGGGAAAGCTTTCATTGAGAGGACAGTCTCAAAAAGTTTTAATATACTTACTGGAGAATTTTTATGAACCGCAGAATCAAAAATGCATCTTATTTGTCATGCCTGCCATCTCCCTCAGAGGAGCCTTCTCAGAAACTAGAGTATGTCTTAGCAACTTGATTTCTCACATAGCGTACAGCGTGCTGATGAACAATCAGCCCGTGCCATCCAATCAGCACAGCCTTACTACAACTTAGCTAAGTCTAGCCTGCCTTAGGATGGAGATGCAATGCTGATCAAATGGCAAATTCACTTCTACAGATTAACTAATTGCCCTACAAGAACTTCACAAATAATTTTTGTTGTCTCATTTAGCGTGTATATCGTATCTAAAAGAAACATGGTAATATTAAACACAAAGTAAACACAAGTACATCATTAATTTCAAAGGCAATTTCCCTATACTCATTATGCAGAAAACTCAAAATATAAAAGTGTTTTCTATTAATATCAGTAAAAAATATAAATTAGTCTGACAAAATGTTTTCTAAGGGCTTAGCCCCTATTATAGAAAAGAATTCTTAACCTAGCATTTTCTTAGATCTACAAAAAAATTCACTCTTCATTTAAGATAGGAAGGCGGCTACTACCCCTGTGGAAGGGCTAACCAACATGGCAGAAGTCTACAGCTCAATACATTGAGCTGATCTGCACTCACACAGGCTACCAGGCTTATACTTACACTACAAAAAACAACGACGGAAAGTGCAAAAAACAAACTGAAGATCAGGCAAAAATTAGATTAGCATATGACAAAATAATTCAATTTGTTGGAGCAACTTCTCTATGAGTAAAACATCAAAGAAATAGGCCTATATGGGACTAGGTGATTATGTCTAGTAACATAAAGTCAGTCATCCAGGAGTGAGCAGCGCCCCAAACATAAATTTACTACTGAGTTAACGCTAGCTAAAGAACAATATCTAATGGGCCTCCCTCCTTTGAGAATGTGCACCACGGACTAGAGGAATGGCATGTGGGCATAAAGAAGCGCTGCACAGAGGGAAGACAGTGCCAGCATCGCGATGCCAGGTCCCGAGACGGAAGGCAAGCGGCTCACTCTAGCAAGGCGCACACACTGTCTTTGAGTCCTCTAGCAGAAAGGACAGGCATGTCAACGGTTAAAATCAAAGATGTCTTTGTATTCATGGCTATGAATTTGGTTTTCAAAATCGATAACGTCACACTATTTTCCACTTTATGAAAACACACGGCTGGGTATGCATGTGGCAGCACTGGCGAGGCTACGGAAGAGGGACCGCCATAGTTTTGCGGCCACCTGGGCTATGAGGTGAGTTCAGAACCAGCTCCAAGTACAAAGCAAGGCCCGTAACCTCCTGTGCCCCCCACCAAAGCAAAGAAAAAAACATGCAGTACATGCAATTTTCTAAATGCATGCAGTCATCTCTTACAACTCAAAATGTATGTTCACTTTGTATAAATTTGTCTTATACAATATAAGGGTTATATACTGAAGGACACATATAACCAAATGGGTCAGCTACATCTAATATATTAAAATAACTGTTAGGAAGTCAAATTTAAAATATTTTACAATCCAAAAATGCCATTTTAGTTAATATTTTTATGTTAACAAGAAATAAAATATGTATTTACTAGCTGAATCGTAAATGAATTTTCATTACAAAAGTATTTTCACTTTTCTGTAATCATGAAAAGAACAAAAATCTAAGAATTTACAGAACAAGGTTCCTGCAGGAAACCTGAAATTTCTGGGAAAATTTACTCAATTACCTGCAATATAACAAGAGCATTTTCTAGGGAAAGGTCATCCGACGGCAGGCCTTCACTTTTCCAAATCAGCTGCTCACTTTCAGTACAAAGAAATCTCCTCAGATCAAATTCTGAAAAGATAAGGGCATCAGCAACATTTTACTACAGTGATCCTACAATCGATGAAGAAACGGGAATAAACCTAAAATATCCTCAAGTGAAAATTCTATGACAAACCCTAACCCTAAACCCATGCATCGCTTACTCAAGCTCAAGGGTAGAAAGTTAAAAAAAAAAAAAAAAAAGGTCAGTGAGGCAGAACTCAGTTAACTCTCATTTCTTCTCACTGAGTGCTTCACATAGTAATGCTGTGCAGGTGAAACAATTCCCAAGAGAGTTTAGAATTAAACCTAGTCATAGGAAATTGCTATAACATTATAATGTTCAGGTGTAGTATCAAAAAAATTAAGTGATCTGTTTTTGGTAATTTCTAGAAATACAAGCTCTCACTAGCGAAGCAATTTCCAAATTGTGTGAGCCTGCCAAATTTAAAGTGGCTACAGTATCTCTGTAACTGACAGAGAATTTTCACCATTTAAATAAAGTAAAGTAACATTGGTCAAGGGTGACTTTTAATATACTGAAATTTCAAATTCACAAATAACTAACTCTCAAGACCAGCCAACGTGGTCCACTCTTCCAAGCAGGCTTTCCTCAGGCTCTCAGGCGCAGCCGAAAGGTATGTAATGAATGCAGCGGCGAGTTGAGCTCGTTTAGGAAGCGTAGCTAACTCCTCCGTTATCTCTGCAACCTGGGGAAAGGGAGAGGGTGCATAAGACTAGGGTCTGTGACGGAAGAAAACGAGGCACAGAGTTTCGTCTATACTCAGTAACACCTTACAGTGGTCAATATTTAAAGGAACAAAACATGAGACTTTGAGGTGATTTTTTTAAGTATGAAATACTAATATATTTGTAGAAATAAACACTTTGTCATTAGCAGTTCCCAATGATTATAGTAAGTGAAAGCTTTCATCCTGACCACTAAATTAAGTGTTGTGCATTTGTCATTGTGAAACAAAATTAAAACACATGTTATAAAGAAAGGCACGAAACAAACAGGGAAGTTCATTCCTGAAAACCTCAGTGCAGGTAAAGCGAAAGATGAAACCGAAAGGCAGTGATACTGAAGCAAAAAGAGAGAAGTACAGCTGACTGCAGACAGACTGTGCAAGAGCTTCCGCGCACGTCAAAGAATTTTCCATTGCAAGCTGTCTTGCAAACCCGACAGCAGAGCAAGCAGTGAGGAGAACACTCACTTGAGCCCACACATGAGGGACGGACTTAGTCAAGGGTCAGATGAGGGGGAGACAAGTCAGGACAGCAAGATGACAAAAGGAAAGGCTGGCATCGAGGAGGGAGACAACTGTGAAGAGTACTTGGAAATGGGCGTTAACACACAGGAAGGCTCGGAGACAACACTCGAGTCTTTAGTTCTGGAAAAGCTCGAGGAAACAAAAGGCCAGCGAGTGAAGGAGGAGGCGCGCCAGGAGCAACAGGAAGTCCGCCCAGACGGCTGGCACGCGCTGCTGCGGGACAACCACGCCGGAAGTGCACCTGGGACACTAATCAAGCTCTGCAGTCCAGAAATGCACCACGGTTACCATCACGTTACCGTCGCGGCGCGGGGCTAGGACGAGCAGGGCTGGGCCCCAGCTTTAGGAGACGCCGCATAGGAAGGGAACACCGAGGATGATCCGCACTGCTGGGCTAGCAGAGAGTGGAACTCACTTAAAAAAATGGCAGAGGGACTAAATGAGACTAACAAAGTTGAACTAATCGAACATTGTAAGAAATAAAGGGACCTCAGGCTTGCAGTTTAAAATTACTATCCTCATAAAGGTAAATTAAACAATCTTTAAGGAGTAGCAAATTTCTATTCATTTCTCCCCGTCGCTATCCTTTCCCTTGAAAGCAGACAACTAAAAAGGGAATCAACAAGTCGCTGTGCTAAACACATCCATAGGAAGACGCACATCCTCAGGGCCGACTTATTACTGGCCTCCTGGATTGAGATCAACTGTCCAAAACCAGCTGCGAGGGAACAGGCATCTGTCTCCTCTGCGAAGGCAGCAAGAACCTCGCACCGCGACCTCCGTCCCACAGACGCCCGCCCCGCGACTTCCACCCAACACACCTGCGCCTTCCACCGCTTGTGTTCTCGGTCCAGCTGATTGATCAGCACTTCTGCGGCTCTGATCGTTTCCTGTGCTTTGCTGACTTCCGCTTCAAGCTTGGCAGCTTCTGACGTCCTGCTCTGAAATCTATAACATTAATGTTTAATTACAATTAAAATAAATAACTATTCATTGAAATTTTCTTTGAGTAGTTACTATTTTATAGCTAAATTTAATTAAGAGTGCTGATATTTGTGTACAACATATCACTCATCAAACACACAAATGTTTCAACACACGAAGTATACCATTCTCCACCTCAAAAAACTGAACAAGGCTTCCACAGCCCACTATATTATTTCAAATTTCTCAATATGGCAACAAGGCTGTACTTTAAGACTGATGCATTCTACCTCCCTGGTGCCATTCCAGTCCTGCCAAAGCCTGGTCAGCACCTGAAGCTGTTACGCTGTATGAAAATATCCTAGCCTTTATCTTCTGCTAGCTTCTGGATGGTCCATTTACTAGAATAGCTTCCAATAATTCAATATTCACTACTTAGCCAAAGCCACCTACTAAAACTATAAGATTTCAAAATTCACTCAAATATCTATTCCATTACATATAATCACCCCTAGATGACTTATTTGCTAAAGCTCATATCTCTATATTTAAATTATCTTCTGTCAAAATATTTGTAGAGTTTCATTAAATATAACGGTAACATTCTACATGATTAGTCAACAAACAGATAAGTGGTTATAATATGCCCATAACTGTACCAAAACTTTTGTAAAAGCATCTGAATTCTTATAACAAAGGTTCAAAATAAGTTTTATATTTCTCGTAATACAGATCCAGAACATTAGACTAGAGATTTTTGTGAGGTCTGAGGCAATTTCATGCACGTTATAGTACATTTTTATTTCTTCTCCGTCCTTCGCTTTTCTGTCGTAGGCATAAGACTCTCGAACTGAGACGACCGATACAGCAGCCTCGTTACATGTGGCTACTGAATTAAGAATAGAGCCGAGGAGTAGCTCCGCAGCCCAGCACCTGCACTGCGACACAAGGTCCTAAGTTTGATTCCCGCTATGCCAAATTAATGAATCAAGAATAAAATTTAAAATTCCTCCATCATAGTGCACAAATTACAGGTACTCAGCAGCCTTTGCAACTGTCCGCTGCCCTATCAAACGGCACACACAGAATCCAGCGACCGCCGCACTAAGCTCCAGCAATGGTGCCGCACTCCAGAGCCAGAAAGCGACAGCACCGCTTTCCTGCGCATGGTCTGTAACAAACACTTCCATCCACTCTGAGAGTGCACTGTATTTTAAACAACGTCAAAAATCTTCATTTTGTAAAATTAGAGTTTAAATTGATAGATTAAGTTCATGCTCAATTCCCTTCCCCTGTGGGAGGCAAACAAGACTGCCACTCAAGGCTGAGACCAGGTCAGCCTTAATTAAGGAGCATTCTTTCTTGAGAATGACATGGAATGGAAAATGCCACTCTGTTATACTTAAAAGTTAATTCCAAAGGATTGTGTAAAATCATTTCAAAATATTGTAAACTATAGATAAGGAGAGGAACTTTATGGGGCTAAATGAATCTAGAATCTAATTCTGGATTAGTCATTTACTTGCTATTAAACCTTAGAGAAAACCTCTCTGTCATAAAAAGTTCTAATACACAAAATAGTGACATACATCTAACACAGAAAGTGAAACAATAACTAGAGCTGGAATTGGAACATGGGTACCACACACTAATGGATCAATAAATGTGAAAATTAGCTCAGTATTAAGTATTATGTACAAGCATATGACACAAACAGTAATATATTTACTTCCTTTATGGCCATCTGATAATATTTAGAAGAAAATAATGTAATTTCTTTCCTATATTTCTAATATAAAAATTGTTCAGGAATATTAAAAATACAGCTAAAGCGGGCCAGCTAGATAGCTCAGTAGACTAAAGTGTCTGTTTAGGCAGATGCAGGGACGAGAGTTCGATCCCTGGCATGCCGTGCCCATACCAGCCCCAGCCCCACCCCTGGGGTGCACTGAGGCAGTGACTAAGACTGGAAGTGGTGGCCTATAATCCCAGTGCTTGGGAGGCTGAAAACAGGAGGATCACTAGGAGTCTGAGCTGTGCACTGAGATCCTATAGACCCTGTATCAAATACATAGAAATCTATATATAATACAGTTAAAGCAATACAGTTTTGGGGTTCTTTTGGCTTTTTTCCTATAAATACTTCTCAACAGACGAAAACATTATCTTTCTCTCTATGTGCACATATGCTTAAATGTATGTAATATATATAACATATATATATATATGTGTGTGTGTGTGTCTGTATAGTCATAATGTTTATAGACAAAAAAGATACACATATATCACGAATGAAAAAGAACTGTTTCCTGAAATTAGAGGGAAAAAAATCATAGTGTTGGGCTGATAAATTTCTTTCTTGATACAGTAATTCTCTCTTCCATAACACAAAGGAAATCTATCACCTCAAAAAAATCTCCAGGGTCAGGGATACACTCAGTGGTGTAGCACCTATGTGGCAAGCGCGAGGTCCTGAAATTGAAACCCAGTACAAAAAAAAAAAAGAAAAATTTGTAGCTCATGAAAATGTCTCATAAAACTGAAACAAATCATAACATGTAAGTTATACTTGGTTACATATTCTTGAGCTTTCTAATTTTTCATATCAAAGAAAATGTTCCATATTAATAATAACTTCCCTATCAGTAAATTTATCCTATATAGTTATCACAAGGACACATAAGTATATGAAAGACTTGACTATCAATCATCTTCACAAATTATTTTTGCGCTTGAGTATATTAGCGTGAAAAAAATTTTCAGCACTGTGCAGACAATTTAAAAGTAGAGAAATTTTTCGAAATCAAAATATGCCCTGGGAACATTACAGAGCAGGTGGCAAGGGCACAATTTAGTATAAAGAGTCTAAACTACAATGTACAGTGGAATGTGAAATATGAACACTCGCAGCGCTGACTCGTTCTATTCAGTTCATCTTGCTCAACTGTCTCACTATCCTTTAGGGAATATACGTCCCCATGGCCCACAGATGGAGAAAAAAGATTTCTGTTCTTACCAAAAAACTGATTGATAAAGCAGTACTTTCCTTCCAAGCTTTAGAATGGTATATCACAAAAAGTAAAATAGTAATCACAACTAAGATTTTCCAAAATAATTAGCTGGGGCATACGTTTCAAATACTGAAGTCACATTTCAAACTTACTTCTCTTTAAGTTCAGAAACCTTTTGGCCAACAGAATTAAGAAGATCTTCAAGTTTCCTTTTTCTGTCTTCAGTTTTCTTCAAATTCCTAAGATATAATTCAGTATTATAAAAGTCATTCTATTTTTTCCAAATATAATCTTGCAGTAAATACATGACAGTGACAGGACCATCAGTAGTTCAAAACTCTAACACTTTTTCTTCAAATTTAATGTGAGAATCAATATTAAATTAGAAGGGCCTGCAAGGGAGATGGCTCAGTAGAATAAGCACAAGGGCCTAAATTCAATCCCCAGTTCCACCAAAAAAAAAAGGGGGGGGGCCTCCTGTCATCTAACCTAGACCCTTCCAGGAATCCATTTTTTAAAAAATTTGTACACATAGACTTCTGGATAAAAATGGCACACTGCACATATTCACTGATATTCTTTCCTTTCCAAAACCTATTAAAGTAAATCAATGAAATGAAATATACAAGAGAAACAAAAGAGAAAGATACAGCAAGGTTAAAATTTCAATAAAATTTTGAAAAGTAATAATTGACAAACCAGAACACAAACAGCCAACAGCAGAATGCCTGCAGGAGTAAGTACTAAAAGAATTCCAAAATGCTCAGCAAATGCGAACAGGTACATCTGAAGGTATGACAAAGTCGATGTGAAGACCTACTTAACAGCTGGCACTAAGAAGTGCTGGACTCCAAACGCCCTGCCCCAGCAGAAGCAGACTCTGCCCTAGGCCAACCCAGAATGCGCCAGGTGCATCCTTCTCCCCATCCAACTCCGGTCCCTCTATGCACGTCCTACACGGAAGATTCGAGGATCCTTTCAGAGCAAGATGAATGATGCCCTCCCTAAAAAGTACCCCAAATATGAAGGGGTTGCTGTCAAAGAGCTGGGCCACACTTAGCCAGCGACACAGGCCAGTGAGCCCGTACCTCACACTGAGAGCTTCTGGTCAGATTTCCAGTATTTCATAAGAAATTACTACCAGCCAAAAATCAGAATGTCAAGAAAGCACATAAATATAGAATGAATTATTAAAGCCAGGAGCAAAAGGATATTGCTTAAATCCTGAGAGAGATAAAGAAGATCTTTCATATGAAAAATAAGATGATGTTACTTTTTTTTAATGTATTTAGTACAGGGTCTACAGGGTCTCACTACATAGGTTGGACTCCTAGTGATCCTCCTGTTTCCAGCCCCCCAAGTGCTGGGATTACAGGCGTGCTCCACCACGCCCAGTCCCAATCACCATCTGAGCGCATCCCCCAGGCAGGACCAGCAGGGCGCGTGGGGGATCAAACCCCAGCCCTGCATCTGCCTAATGCTTTAATCTGCTGAGCTATCTGTCTGGCCCAATGTTACTTTCTTAAAAAATAACAAAATTTAAAGAAAACAGAACTTTGGAAAACTGAACTTTAACAAAAACAGAACAATCTAGCGGTAGGAAGATAGAGTTGAAGATGGGAGGCCTAGGCCAGACGACATGGAGAGCGGGCCTGCTGCACACACTCCCGGGCAGGACAGCACTGCACACGGACACATTTCCTCCCAGAGGGGTGGCTTTTACCGTCTTGCACAAACTAGCAGAACTCTGAAATTATTAGGGCAGATATAAAAACCATTTAGAAGGTTGGGGTTCGAGTACTCTGACAGAAGACTAATACGAGTCTATGACAACAATGAAGCCCACACTCCCGTCTGCCAGCCCAGAGCCAAGCTCTCACTTCGGGGTCCCGACAGAGCCAGGATGTTCCAGCACACCCCACCGTACCGGCCTGGCGCACAAATTCACCAATCTATGGTGATAGGTAAGAGGAAAACAAAGGCAGGGGACATCTTGGAAAGGTCACGCTCTTTTCAAGGAGATGCGCTTGCTTTCAAAAGTGGCTCACTGGAAAGAACTATGCTTTCTTGCAATCCTGCATCATCCTGTCTGAGAAGAAGTTCAGCAACCGCCTGTGTGGAAGGAGCTATTAACTTGCGAATAAACTGACAACGTCAAAATGGGGGAAGAGCGTGAGGTCCTGGACAGCCTCATGCTGTACACCAAAAACCAACCTGAAAACACCTCTTCTGGGGCCTGCTATTCATAATATTGCTCAGTTTTTAGAGCCATTTTGAGGGGTGATGCATGCATTTTTGAACTATATTATTAGACGTGCAAGATCTCAAAACACTGTCCAGCCCTTTATTCTTAGGAAGCTGTTGTGAAGGATGTATTCCAGAAAAACAGTAGCTAAACTAAGAAAAAAATTAAGAATTCATAATAAAAGGACACAATACAGAAAAGAGAGTATTATTCCTTCAGAATAATGACAACGAAAGCCTCTGGTTAACCACTGTAGGCAGCAAGCCCAAGGAAGAACTGACCCAGATCAGAACAGGATGGCGACGGGACTAACTCACGTCAGTCAGCACAGGAGGGCAAAGGCTTTAGGACAAGTAAAGACTACAGAACGCAATAGCCAAACATACCCGGAGGTTCTTCAGGGAAACGTCAGAAAGTGCACAATCGAGAACATGACTGCTTTGGGGGATTTTTTTTTTTCTTTTGTGGCACTAGAGATCAAACCCAGGAGCACCCTGTCCTAGAGCCACATCCCTGGCCCCTCATTATTTTGAGACAGGTTCTGCTAAGCTGCTGCAGTGGTTGACAGACTGTGTCACCTGAAAAGTTGAATTCAGTGGCTCAGCAGAGAGCCAGCCTCCTTACTTGTGAGCATCCCCACCTGTGCAAGAGGAGCGGGCCACTGTGGTCCTACACCCCGACCAGGAGCCTGCCTAGAATGTAAGGAAGGGAGAGAGGCTGGCAGGAGGCCCGAGCTGCCGCCCTGCCTTTGCTGCGCGCTGCCCTCTGCCCTCTGCCATGTGTAGCTCTGCCTTGGAGCCAGCCAAGTATAGACGAAAACTTGCACTAACTATGAGCTAAATAAACCTTTCTTTCCTTCATTTTGGGTGTCAGGCATTTTGTCCCAGCAAAGAAAGAACAGTAGCCGAGACAGCTGCCCAAGCTGGTCATAAATCCTCCTTTCTCCTGCCTTAGTCCCCTGAGAGCTGGCACTCCAGGCTTGGACTGCCTGCCACTCCCAGCAGACACTGGATCTTAAATTCTAAAAAAATTGTATCAGTACATGCTTGCAACACATAATGATTACATGTGCTGTGGGGCTGTGTACACAATACAGATTAGTCCTTTTTAATCCCCTTCACCTTCGCCTCCTTCTCTCCACCTTCCTCTACTTCCCTTTTGCATGGAAGGCCTATCTCCCTGTTTTGTACTACCTTTTATTTTGCCTTTAATTTACCTATATTTTGGGTTTCTCATGTAACAGAAATCATGATTTTAAGCCTGTGTGTCTGATTTATTTCACTTAACACTATTGTCTCAAGGTGCATCAGTTTTCGTACAAATAACTCAAATTTATCCATCCTTATGACAGAGTAGTACTCCACTGTGTTGAAATACCACATTTTCTTTAACCATTCCTCTGCTGATGGACCCATGGGCTGCACCAGGATTAGCTACGAAGAGCTGTAGTACAAAGCGACAGTAAGAAAAACAGGGTGATGCTAACCACTTGCATCCTCGAGCTTCGGTAGCACAATTTATCTTCCTACCCGCCAGACATCGTTTTGGAAAATATATCCCAAACATTTCTAGAACCCAGATGATGAGACAAATATAAAAGCCTTAAATTTCAAGCCTTCTTTCTATATTTTACTGCTTTTCTTTATAAACCCTTGTCTTTATAAACTTACCCTTCCAACAACGTAACTACAGCGGAATGAAAAAACTGGCCCTGTCATTCATCTCCTGCTGATCCCCTTATTTTGTGTATGTTTAATTTTTAATTTTTATCACTTTAAGTTTTAAAAGCAGCAGTTACCTTTTAAATAGAAAAACAAACACTGTACAGTACTAATGCTGTAAGAAACTCAGCATGCTACTAATAATGTTTGGACAGGACATCCTGTCCGCCTCTTGTACTATGGATAACCACTAAGAAGATAACAAGGTACAATGTATTAATTATTGAAACTGTCCTATTAATCAGTTTTGAAACTGTCTCATTGCTATTGGTTTCTCAATGAAATAAAATAAAAATGAAAGAAACTCAGCATGCTGATAAAACTAACTATGAACCTGTGCGCATTTCCCAGCTCACTTACACCTGCAATCCCGCCTGCTCAGTCTCCAGGGGCTGGATCCGCTCCAACACGTGGGAATACTGCACGTTGGCTTTCACCCAGGCAGCCAGAGGCGCCGCTGCGGTACTGGCGCGCTTCGCATTCTAAAAATTTCAGAAGAAATTATCCAATCTTCTGACTTACTTTCAAATAAATGCAAAATTCATATATTTTAGTTAGGCATTTATTAGAAAACATAATGCAAATCATGAAATTTTTGGTTTATAACTAAAATTAAGTATAGTAAATTGCTAATCTAAGAGAAATATATACTCTCACCTTTAGCTTAAAAATAAATCTTTAGAACCACATAGAATTTTTAATGCAAAGATGCCCCATCACACTTACTCTTTTAATCCCACATACTTGTGCCATCCGTAACCATGTTCAAGAATGAATTCTTTATTTTCTATGCATGGAACATATTTTATTACATAAGAGCAACTCTGAAGTCATTGCCAGTGATTTCAAAATGATACACAAAGCATTCTGAATAAAGGCTCTAAAAATACTAAAGTCATGGAATTTAAAACTGTACACTAAAATTTGATACAACTATCTTAATACCAATATCTGTTTACCTATTATATGACAAATATACGAGAAAAGTTAGAAGTTAAAAAAATGATAAATTATGAATTTAACATTGACTGATGATCCTAAGATTTAAAAATTAACAGGATAATAAATAACTTTCTGCTACCTGGATTCTACTTTACTTAATTCTGCTCATGAATGTTGTCCAACAACAAAAACTAGAGAGTTTTGGGGTTTGGGGTTTTGTTTTTTGGGTTTTTTTTTTTTTTGTAATTTTAGGTGATTTTTAATAACTGATAAATCGACCAGGCATCACAAACTAACATGTAGAATAATACAGAGTAGAAAAAAAGAAACTTAGGATACAGCTGTTACAAATTACCTTTGGATCAAAAGAGCCTTTATTTTTAAAAAGCAGCTCTTCAACACTCTCCCTTATTTCCTTGGGGATGTTCCGTGCATCAAAGGTTGCAATGTCTTCTCTCACACCTCTTTTGGCCAGGAAACTAAAATTAAAACATATTAATTCAAAATGGTCTAATAAAAGTAAGTATTTCTTTTTTAAAATCTTTTATCTACTTATTTGGTACAAGGTCTCACTACACAGCTCAGACTCCTCGTGATCCTCCTTTCGCAGCCTCCGCAGACTTTCGCCTTGCCTGGTCTGGGCGGCTGGCCCAGGGCGCCCGGGCTCCAGGGCCAGCACGGCATGCTGTACTGGGGATCTCACCTGGGCCACTGCACCTGCCAGGCAGGCACTTAGACCGCCGAGCAGACTCTACCCCCAATGTTAATATTTCTTGAAAAAATCAGTTTAACAGATTGATATAGTTAGTACATTTAATATAACTGTATTAGCTAATAAAATAAATGTACTGAAATTTAACTTTCTTAAAGCTACCATTCTTGCAGACAGGAAGGACAACTGTAGGAAGCCACAACACTCCAATAAGGCTCCGTGAACAGACCAGGACAAGCAGGCCGCTGCTGGGACGCCGCCACTCCCCTCGGGTTCTTCCTTGTGGACCACTGTGTACTCAGGGCCTAGGAAGACTTTTCTAAGGCTCTCTACAGTATTTCCTTACCCTGAGTCTCCTCTCCTATTACCAGATTTTTTTTAAATTCTGTATTATTATCCTAAAACCCAGCAGAGCGCAGAACTTGACATCAGCACAGACCGTAACGCCAGTCCGGCCATGAGAGGCCTGCCACAGGTCTCCGTTAGCTCATACTCAGGCCTTCTAGTTTCAACCTCTCACCTCACCGAGGGCCTGCTCATTTCTCCGTCTGCCTCTCTCTCCCCCACTTCTCTCTCTCTCCCTTTGCCTCCCTCTCCTCCTCCCCCACCTCGCTTTCTTCATCTCTCTTTGCTCCCCTTTTCTTCCCACCTCTCCCCTAAAAGCTCAAGACTAGATGGAGAGTAGTGAGTACATTTTCTTTAACAGGAACATCACAGTGTTCTTACTCCACAAAGAGCAAATGAATTATCAACTTGAATGAGATTCTAATGCATTGCTTCCTGCCTTTGACACTTTTAATAATAATATATGGAAGGAAAACAAAGACATATCATCACCGTATTTGATTACACAGAACATCTTGAAATTTCAGAGCACCATGTATGACTATGTATTTAGATAAAGATCAGTCTGATAAATACTAATAAAATATTAAAAACCATAAAGAGGGTGCATTCTTGCTAACGTAACGTCCACAAATTCAGACACTTGCCTTTTCATGCTCACCCAAGAAGTATCAAAGATGCCCATCAGCCTTAACACTCCTTCCAGAATGTCTCGGATTACATCCGGTGGCATCCGGAGCGAGCGAATTTCTGAAAGAGACTCCGGCTTGATGTTCCCAACGGCGAGTTTAGCTTCATTAACCAGAGGCTGAAACAGAAAAAAGCCACTTTACTCTGAAACTATGTATTTTTAAATATCAGTAACTATACATAACCTAACAGCATTATTTTATTCAAATAACCATAGTTACTAATATTGTCTTCAAATATCAGAATGCTCAAGTCGAGCAACTTAGCCTTTCTGCCCCCAAAACCGCAACATGTGAATCCAGTTTGTCTTGAGATAATCTGCACTTTTCCTTTGAGACAGTTTCGGGATTGACTTCCCACTGTCCTTGAATTCACTATGCAGCCCGAGCTGGCCTCGAACTCCCCCTGGGAAATGTGTGTCAGTGTCCAGAGCGCCAGGATTACAGCTGGTGCCAGCACACCTGGCTCAATTCGCCACCCTTAAGGGGCTCTTTACAGTTTACCACTAAACGGAAATTTCAGTCAAGTCTAGGAGGAAAAGGCTGAACAGTCTGCCTTTCTATCTATGGGACGTTTCTCCCTCTACAACCAGAGAACAACGATCACACGGAACAGAGTCTTTTCAGTTTCCATCAGCTAATCAACTTCCTTTCCCAGCAGGTTTTCTTTCTTCCTTTTCTTCTTACAAGTGATATCCTGGTTGAAACTCACCTTTGATAATACTGTAAGAAAATAACTCGAGTTACAGACAAGGCTTAGCTCCCACATTTCACTAGGAGGCAAAATAATAAATGGATGTTAGTATGTGGTTTCATTTTTTTTTTTCAACTTACCTGGACTTCCTTCAATTCATCATCAATTTTATTTTTTCTTTCTTCAATTTTATCAACTTCTTCTGCTATTTTATGCTTCAGTCGCTCAAGTTCTGTCTTTTGCTCGCTAGCATCCTATAGGAATATTTAAGTAGAATTTCAACAATTTTCATTTAAATAAAATGTCATTTAAAATAACATTTTCTATTAAAATACTGTAATACAGTATTTTATTGTATTTACAGTATTTTATGTCACAGAATCTGTGACATAAGAGCTTCTAAAATATTATACTAGAAACAAATGATACATTTTACTCTACTTAATCAGAAAGGCTTCTAAGCTTTGTTTTAATTTTGTCCACTAACAAAGTGAAATGTTATGTAAAATTCAGACAAGCCAAAAATGCATACTTCTTTAAATGATTATAACATATACCCTGGGGGTGCTGGGCCAGCACAGCAGGACCAGGGATTGAACCCGCCCCCCTGAGACTGCTTGAGGCGCTTTAACCTGCTGAGCTATTCGGCCAGCCCGAAGGAACATCAGTTTTATCCAGATGTTTCCAATCTACCTCCAACACTAATCCCTGACCCAACAAGCTGGGCTTTACTCCTTCCACTTACCTCAGACACCCTGCAGGTGAGCGCATCTGGAGCTTTTCTACGTCAACAGCTTTTCCACCTCCATACCTCCGCTAGCACTCAAGCGCGAAACTCCCTTTCTCTACATCCACATTTCTTTAAGGCCTAGCTCACATGGCCCTTTAGTAGTCTCCTTTTCCAATGAGAAGTTACATGCACTCTGAGTTTTTAAGAGCATTTAATCTATATTTTTCTTATGCAGCAAACAAAATCACAAGCTTTAGAGGTTGCACTTTGATGTTCAAAATGTTTCTCCAAGTATTTTTGAGAAACTACCTAACAGACCTAGCTGATACTTATTTTTTTTAATTTTTATTTGATACAGGGTCTCACTACGCAGCTCAATATCCTCCTGCCTCAGCCTCCCTACTGCTGGGTTTACAGGCGTGCACTACCACACCTGAAATGGCACAGAATGAGGTACCAAGGATCAAACCTGGGCCCTTGCGCTTGCCAGGCAGACACTTAGACTACTGAGCTACCACTCCAGCTGCCTAGCCGATATTTATAATTAAGCAAAATTATTGATTTATGAGGTGTACAGTCACACCTTTTCCAGGTCTCTGCTAGCTAATATGATTAGCTACTGCCCTAGGCACAGCCCCTCCGAAAAGAAGTGAGAAAAAAGAGCAGCACAACTCTCAGTGTATTACTGGTCGCACGCGACACTGGACATGCAAAGTGTGCGCTGTCTTTGCTTTATAAACATGTAATTGTCAACAGCGTAATCTTTTACACTCATTTTTGTTACTTCATATTATTTTTTGAAGGTAAGAAGCAACAGTTTTCTAACAATAAAAATCACTGGCTATTTTAAGTATTTATACTAATATGACCTAAAAATGCCTTAAGAAAAAATTATGCTTTTATAGGATGAAAAATTCTTTGACAAGTCATGTGTTACAGGTCCAATATCCTCTAATCTGAATTCTAGCATTTCCCTCTAGGTGTTTCCATAATTCCACAAAAAGGAAGTTACAGTGAGTGTCCTCTTTGGCGTCTGCTTTTCTTCTCTTAGCATGCAGTGTCTGAGACTTATTCCATGTTTTTATTCATTTAGCTAAAAGCCTTATAGTAGAATTCTGGATTAATGA